CAACTCATTTTCAAAATTGTATACTGTCATGAAAGCCGAGAGAGAGAGAGAGAGAGAGAGAGAGAGAGAGAAAATTGTAATCAAAATGTGCTTCTATTTTCTGAGGTTGAAATGTCAAGAGATTTACTTTTACCTCGACACGAGCAATTGTTTCTTTTTTGTGTGTCTCACACATTTGTGATAAGAGTTTTACTCGTGCCAAGACAAGTGGTGCTTGGATATCAGGCCTTGAGAATATTGGACTAAATGAATTTCTCAATCGACGAACGAAATTGATTCATCGATTCGACTACGATTCAATAATTATACCATACAACTTAGTTGAGTTTATCTAGAACCAATGAGAAAGAGTTGCGAAACAATTCAATAATTTCAACGCAAGCGGCAATAAACAACGTCATACACATCGATTCGTTTCGATTAAGAGAGTAAGAAAAAAAATTGGTCTGCAATTTCTATAACTCATCCAAACATTACTCACATATTTCAAAACGAAATCATAAACAATAATTTAACAAAAAAATGTGTACCGTGTTTTTTGCACAAAATGTGCGATTAATAATTGTCGACAAACCCTTGGGCTTAAACATTGATTATGAGATATAGCACGTGTAATCATCGCAGCAGCGCGTCCGGTCTTTTTTTTTGTGTGTGCAAAGGTCTATAACTAACTGAAAATGTAAACAATTCGCATCATTTGCAATTGAAAATTCAAATGAACTGGATCTTGTTTGCCTTTTACATGATAGCCTAGAGTATGATTAGTTTCATTTCTCTGTAAACGAATAAGTAGAGATAGTTGTATTCTGTGTGGCCAGGCACAGAACGACGAAACCAGCATGAATAATCGTGCGAGAAAAAAAAAAGTCTTGTTATCTCTAGCACCGTTTCTGCCATATGCTCTTATCGATTGAAATGTACACACTCGCTCAAACATGAATTTAATATCCATGGAATTGTATTAGCTACAACAACAAAAAACTTGTCTCAAATCCACTTCATCTTCTCTTACTTTGTTCGAGTCTAATGAGCATATTTTCCGAGCTTGCGATTGAATATTTCTCTGAATTATAATTTGTCAAGATCATTTTATGCGTCTTATTAGCGTGCACTTAAATTGTGAGCATAGCTACTTAGCTCAAGCTCAAGCTCATATGTGTATGTGTGTGTGTGCAATGATCCGGTCATTTTCACGGTAGAAACGGAGAAATGAAAGAGATTGTCTGTGTTAAAGTGGATTAAAAATGCATCAAAATATATGTGAAATGGCTGTAAAAACAGATGCTAATGCGAAAATTACTTTCCTTAATCAATTATGATCGGATATATGTGAGTTGATGTAGTAAGTAAAATGTCTGTATTCAAATAAATAATTGAATGCGTATGAGCTCCTAATTGGCACTGAACATGTACTAAAACTGTTCATTATAACGATGATTTTTGCCCGTATGGGCAGAACTGTACACGAACAACAGATACCGTATAATCATCACAAAATAAGCTGTATACACCATACAAAAATGCATACAGTTTGTTTATCGCATCAGCGAATGAAATCGATGCCAGAGTGAATTAATATTTTTCGGTGAGTAAGTATCACAAAGCGCATTTGATGAAAGAGAAAGATATTTTTTTTGATTATTTATTCAATGAAAGTAGAACAAAGTCTCCGTCTGCCCTTCGGGTCAATTGAATTTATTGAATAAATATTTAATTATGCAGAGAGTTTGATGTAACGCGATAAAACCGAAACAAATGGAATTTAATGAATTCAATTCTTTGCAGGAAGACTCTTTAAATTTTCAATAGATTTTCGAACATAATGCATAAATTCACAATGAATGGGTCAATATAATGCGACTATAAAACGAAGACTTACCAATATTCACCGACTAAATATCATGCATAACGATCAGTTACTACAGCAAGCAATTTCATGTCATCCACATGGTTTTTATTCAAATTATTTTTATTATGCTCGAATAGATATTTTCATCTACCACTGATTTCAGTGGGTTTTTTTTTTAAGTATCCTGGATGTGTTTGTTATAAACACAAACTTACTGTGGTATTATTGAACAATTGATGGTTTGTAAGTTACCCTGCAGCTGTATCACTACGTGCAATCAATTTTGATACTAAAAATAAATATTTATCGATGTCAACGCATCATATTCGATGGGAAATCGATTGAAATGCGAATTGAAATAACAGCAAACACACATTTCGATGAGCAAATGTTGCTGCTTGCAAATGCAACTTTCCCGAATGACTCACGGCACCAGCACAATCTCATCACACCAATATAAAATACATATCAAGTTATGTAATGTATTTATTTTGATTCACGTTATAAACCCCATTCTATAAAACGCAGCAGTCTTGTCGCCGTTTGCGTTTCGAGCTCTTTTTTGTTTTGTTTTATTCAGATAAGATAACACTTTTTTATCGATTTTTTCGGAACGTCAGTGGAATTTTAAATGAAAACACAATATTGTCTTCATTCCGACACATATAGTGCGATGATTGTATAGTGTATACACAATTTATAAGAAAACAACAAAAAAAACCTCTACGGAATCACGAATGAGGCAAATTGTAAAAATAGAGCGCAATTCAAGATTCGTAAGCACAACGAAGCGAATGGTAATTTTTCATTTAAAATTTTCATTTAATTAAAATACGAGCGCACCAGAGTAGCCGCTATTGTATATACCGATGTGTTGTTGTCATGAGAGAAAATGCATTTCAATGATGCTATTCAGAGCACACAGGAATTCTGAATGAAAAATTGCCGACTGCTTATTAAAATTCAAAGTATTTTGTCGGCAAGTCGTTTATCCGTTGGCAACAATAACCATTAATGTAATATTTACGGGTTTTAAGATAAAAAAATGCTTCTTTTGTCATTGCGACAATGTGAACGGAACCATCGATGCTCTCTTTTCTTAAAGTTTTCTCCGATGTTTTTGCCATTTGGAAAATGGAAATTTTTTCTGTTGTTTATTTTTCCACATCCGATCGATTCACTCTCATTATTTTAGACAAAACATACGAGTCATTTCTTGATTCAGTTCCCATGGTTTGTCATTATTATGCTGAATTTGATGTGGTTAAGGAAATGAAGGCTGCAAGAAAAAAAATTGAAATTCCAATCAACATTTGCTCGATGTTCACGTACATTCGGTCGGTTTGTTTGCATTCAATTGAAGTTTATTATTGTTTACATCAGCAGAATCGGTGAGAAAAACAAGCAAAACCGTTAAATAGGAATAACAAGTCGAAGAGATAGAAATGCACAGTCTTAGACCGGGCGCTGAAACGCGCAAAGTAAATACCGAAAATGTACAAACTATACATACAACTGAGGCGCGCTTACTGTTGAAGCAAAAATTCATAGCAAGGTTAAGGTCGATTTTCATTTATATTCTCATTGCTTCAGTTGCTACTTTTTTTTCGCTCCCACCGATTAACATAAACACACTCACAGTTGGAATTGCTCTTTTTTTGCATCAACATTTAGCCGTGTAATGTGTAATAAAACCACACTACATCACAGAAAAGCGGCTAGGTATAATGTTTGCGATTGCATGCAAAAGTTTTCACAAAATTTACATTCAAAATACACCATAAACTAAAGACAGTCAAATAAATTGCGAAGAACAGAAACAGAAGATGGTCCGGATGAGTTACACTATCTTTTCGTAATAATGCCGCAATATATCTCCATTGTACATGACGCTTAACAGGTACCTTTGTATTTCGAATATATCAAACGCAATGAATGATGCAACCCATTGGGGAAATCATATTAATAATTTTAAAACTTGGTTGGTTGGCTGGCTGACTCGGTGCTGTCAGATTGCATTTCGAGATTACCAGTCGAAACCAAAAAACTTTTCTAGTTCTAGTTTTTCCGACTTGTGTGCTTTATTGTCCGTTCGTTTATGAGCGCACTAGCGTTTCTATTGCACGCGCTGAAGTTTAAACAGCCATAAATTCACCGGTGTGTAAACAATTCTCTCTCCCGACGCAACGCAAAGATAAAAACGTGGCAAGTAAAATTTGTGATTTTTCATTGGCCAACGGCATTGTGGCGGCTACACACACAATAAATTACGTATTTATACTCGTAACGAGTTGTGGGAAATTTACTTTGTGCGATTTTTATACTAAAGTATCCACAAAATTGAAGGCGGACGTCAAATTGCTTTGAACTCTTTCCAAAGAAAACACCAGACAAAATTATTCATTTGCCAGATCGTTATAGAGTCTGAAGGAGATAAAATTTTGTTTGGACGCTGACGCGGTGATTCATACCACAGACACCACCATTTTTATTATATCAAATATTACCTTTATTTCCTGGAACAATTCCATATGAATTTTAAAAAATTACACTATTTTATTGGGGAAATTCAACTGTGTGTAGAGTGTACATAAATTCATAAACAGCTATTCAAATCGCTTATTCGTGGAAAGTAAATTTAACATATTGATTTTGTCTGGGTTTTGGCATTGTTACATTTTTTTTTTGTTTTCGATGCGAAACATTCCATTTAAAATCCAGTTCAAAATCGTTTATATGTTGAAGGTTCATTAACACGCGTTTTTTTGAATATTTTTTTTTTATCGGCAAAACCTGAATTGGTCAAACCAATTAATCGATTTGGCTAATAAGTTAAAGTATCAAAAGCAATTGCCGATAACTGCTCAGTATCGACCATCGAAATACATCAAAAACAAAACAGTACAATGTAGGAAGTTGACCATCTGTGACTAATGATTGGATTCGAGTAGTTGTGTTGTTTTTTAAGAGAATCCAGCTCCAAATCGAAATGTAATTGAATGAGTAATTGAAGTTGTTTCGTAAAATTCGTATTTAATACGATCGTAATCAATGTCAGAGTCACTACATACATGTTAATTATTTTCTCCTTCTCACCCGCTTTCTCATTCGTTACACTTTAATTTCCAATGCTTTTTTTCTTTCATTTCAGTTACAGTGTAAAGAAGAGTACTTGAGCCGCAAAAACGAAGAAAATGATGATGAGACAATTGGCCGGAGTGACGGTGTTGGCAACAATTGCCATAATGCTGATGCAGATCCAGTCGTCAACAGCTTGTATGTGTATGCCAAAACATTCACAATCATGGTACTGCGATTCAGATTACGGTAAGTTTTTTTCTTCATTCATGTATCGATGAAGCATGCATTGAAAACGCTCGGGCCCACAATGTTATTTTGATATCGATTTGTGTTGTGAAACGACGTCTTTCACTGTACACAATGCATTACATTCACAGTCGAATGCATTAAAAGAGCAAAACTTAATTTTCATATCATCGATGTTTTTTTTTTTGTGTGTGTCTCGCATAAATTTCGCATGCATTTACCCAAATTGATGATTGTTCGCATCTGGTGTGAAGGTTTTTCGTCTGCGTTACATGTTAAGTGTTCAGTTTTACACATTAACTGGAATTTATTATGTACATAAAAGAAACTGTGGAAAAATTGCATTTCGATGAACGGCGAGAATGTTATATGTATTAATAAAACGTAAAGTCAGTCGACGAATCGGTTCATGGTTCATCGTATAAAATCACATTGATTTCAATCAGAACATATTTTCACGAACATTTCTCTCCATTTCTTTTCACAGTAATATTGGCGAGAGTGTTGCGAAAGTCAAATCAAAAGATCAACTTTCATGATGTTTACAAAATTGAAGTGAAGAAGGCATACAAGGTGAGAGACATCAAATATACAATATTTTTGCATGTATTTTGCATGTGTAAAATTGAATCGAGTAACTTTTCAAAAACATTGCAATATGTATTTATCTAACTAGAAATCGCCACAAACCGACAGTTTCCTACGTGAAGGACGCATACTAACGCCCGGAATCGACTCGTTGTGCGGTGGTTTGAATTTGAAAGTTGGCAAACTCTATTTGATTGCTGGCAATTCACAGATGATCAACATATGTAACTATGTTAAAGAGTATTCCCAAATGACAATTGTCGAGCGAAGAGGTTTCGCCGGCGGCTACAAAAAAGGATGTGTATGTGAAGTAAGTTACATCTGACATGGTACATTTTGTAAATTGCATTCAAACTTTTCTGTTCACATGGTTTTTCGCAGATCAAACCGATGTTCCAAATGGAAGGATTCCATCAATCGATTGGTGCATGTAATTGGCGACCATTTACAAAATGTGAAACTGACTATGGCGCTTGTGTACCAGCACGCGGTCATTATACACCAGAAGGAAAACCACTGAAATGTCATTGGCGACCCAGCCAACCATATAACACGTGCAAAGCACGATTAACAGAACGACGAGATCAACTTTTCTAAGCAAACAAACATCGACTCACACTCCAAGACAACCATTTCTCATTCAATTTATATATTTAACGCAATCTTTTCAATCAACCATGTTGTCTCGATGTTTTATCATAATTTAAATTGAAAGAAAAAAAACGATGAGAAACTGCATCAGCTATAACCAGGTTTTTGTGTAAAAGCAGATAAATTTAAATTTAGCACGTACTTAACACTCAATCGAATTCTCAATGAACTGACGTTTTCCGGTAAAATATATTTATGTAGAATGTAGCATTAGTATGAGTACAAAAATAATTAGAATGAAAATGTGAGTTAAAATTGGTTAGCCAACAAAACATTTGAATAGATAAATGAAGCAATTTGTTTCCTGCTTTTATTTTTTTTTTCGTTCGTTTTACTAGAAAAATGCATACACATGTGTTGGTTTACAGCTATTCAGATATGTTCACATGCGAAAAATTCGAAACTAAAAAAACGAGTCGTTTGTTTTCGTTTGAGTTGAAGTTTTAAATATCCTGTTTGAAAAGTTTCCCAATGGATGTTTCAAGTACCATAAATTTTGGAAAAAGAAAAATAACAGCTTGTCAACAATGTTTTCGTTCTGCTTTCAAGGGATTGATAAAATAAGATGCAACCTTGTTGTTATTTCGTAGAAAAATCGAGAAAAATAAATCCATCTAATTTCTGTTTGAGTGACTGGCGCCTCTTGAACGTATGCTATAACAATACACAACGATTTGAAATGCACTAACCAATCAGAGATTCAAGCTTCAATTCAATATTTCTATAAGACTCTTATGCGAGTTTCGAAACAATGTCAAAAGTCGAGTTCTTTTCTATTTTCAATTTCAAAAGTTAGTTTTTTTTTTAGTTAAATGTATACTAGAATAGGAAATTTGACTCACCAATTCGCGAGCATTGGGGAAAAATGTTTGTTCAATCAATGGAAAATTATCCTTTCCGAGACGACGTTGTAATTGTAACAAATGCGCAAACACCCATGGCTTGTCCTATGGAATAACAAGAGTCGAAATTCAATTATTTGTCTATTAACAGATTTGTATGTTTTTCAAAAATTATTTATCTTCATCATGCTCATTTGAGTTTTGTAACAAAATACAAAAAAAAACCAATCGGATTATTTATGAATAAGAGTAACTTGTTTTGAAAAAAAGAATATTAAGTTGATTTTATGGAATTCATATATAAATAAATACATCAAAATTACCTGAAATTGATAAACTGAGTTCAATGAGTTTATGCTTGGAACGCCGGAGAATTTAAGACCCAACAAGGTCGAACGATAATCGCGAGAACCATCACGTGGTGGCTGACGAATCAGTACGAAATCTGGTCGAAATGAACGCATCACCTGTCGAGTGCCAAAACAAATGGAATGGGCAGAGGTAAGCATAATAAATAACGAAAAATGGGTGTAAGTGAACAATTTTTCACATGAAATTATCGTATATAAAAATAAATGATCTGACTGACCTTGGTGCCACCGCGAAACACTGACATCGATACCATCGTTCCATTCTCCGAACTTGAAACTAGTCCAATTTCCTAGAAAATTTATTTTGACACTTTTAACCATGGATGTTTTTCTTAAATGAAAAAAATCAAGTATTTTACCTTGAATTCAGCTTGTTCGACTCGAATATCATAGTCGCCATGCAATCGCTTTCCTCGGAAATACTTGGACCAATCAGTGTTCTGATCATCGAGCACAAGCAAAGTAAAGCAACGATCTTTGTTGAACGCTGGTCGCGTTGCACTCTGAACAGCAGCACCTAAAAATGTACATGAAACTCTCGTTGACACAGGTAATTTTGCTTGTCGAAAAATGTAGAAATAAGGCGTTTCCCATCGATTACAATCTAATGAATTAAATTGAGTTAATTACCGATAATTGATGCGCCTTGATCTCGGGCAGCCCCAGTTAAGCTCTGAACGCGTTGCAATAAGCTTTCACGTGATTTTGCCGGGCTTGCCGGAGCGCTAGTCCCACGTGCCGGTCCTTTACCAAAACTCAACGAAAGATCCGGTGCATTTCCAGCTTGAGCTAAAATGATTAATATTATTTTCGTGAATAATCAATTTTTCAAATGGCGAACACATCTCTATTTTTTCGTCTCACTCATCGTCGACCGTCGAGTATATTAAATAAAAATGAAACAAACCACGTGTCGGAGCTGGCGGTGGTGGGATATTGGGTGGGCCACCGCTTGGATTCGGCATCGGTTGTTGTTGAAGAGGAGGCGCCGCACGTCCAGTACCAGTACCTGTTGGATCGTTTGGGTCTACGTCATCGCATTCGGAAGACAAATCTCCCGAACTAAATCTAAAAGCAACAATTTATTTATATTAGCACGTGATCCATTAATCACAACTCGCAACAGAATTGGAGAGAGAGAAGCAAATTCTACATAGAACAATCTAAAACTATATACATATGTCATAAAATATTATTATTATCAAAGAGTATTATTCAGAACAAAAACGAAACGAATTTTATCTAATAAATCTAAAATAAATCAAACTGAAATAAAAAAAATGCAAGATTCAAAAGTCCAATAAATACAAAGGAAATACGTGGAAAAATTTTCATACGAAAACTAAAGAGTTTTTTTTTGTTTGTTTGTAATCAGGAAAAAAATGTCGTAATTACTGTCTGTGTCAAAGGAATTATGTGAGTTGTTGTTGTGGCAACATATTGAAGGGTTGGTGCAGTTTTTTTTGTATTTTTGTGCGCAATTTGCATATTATATGTTTCAATCGACAAGGATTTTGTATATTTTTTTGTATTAGCACAGAGCAGAGACAATTTTGATATGCGAGACGGTCAAAAGAAAGAAAGAAAATTAGAAAAAAGTATATTAATAAACGGTAATAAAATTTGTTTCTGTTATGTAAATGGTGTTCAAAAAAATTTCTTTCCCGAGATTGAGAAGTGATGTTTGTTTGTGTGTGTGTGTATTGTGTCGAGTGTTTTGATGAATGATTGTTTCAAAATGATGGATTTACATTATTTATGGAGTGGCTGTTGAGTGTAAAATTATGAGTGCTCAATCCAATGGAAAATTGGATTCATGGAAATGAGAAACATATTTTTTGTCTGATGCACAAAAAAACACTGGGCAAAATGTTTCGTCATTACTTTTGTTACTGCTTCAAAGAAACTTGAAATATTCCATTGGACGGCGATGGTATTCACCATCAGTTCAATTACCATGTCTATTAAATTATCTAAATGTAAATAAAGGTAATCGTTTCATTCTTTTCCCCAGTTGCTCCATCCAATATTTCAAATGTCTTTGTGCGTAAAATTGTATGTTCTATACACCATTTTCTTTATGGATTCAAATGACGATATTATAAAATCAAATAAAGACATGGTGCAAATTTATTTTTTTGTTCCCAAAATTCGCCTCGGTATATCAAAATCAAAAATCATAATATAAATTAGATGAAAAAACAAAAAAAGGGAATAAATAATGCAAATTGAATAATTAATTGTGGTGTTATCAAACGAATAAATTACCTTCGTTTCAGGAAATTGACATTTGAGGTGAAGCTACTTTTGAAACTTGAGAAGTTCAGTGTGCCGCTTTTCTCCTGCAATTTTTTTGTTTTTTTCAAATTTCGTTTCATGATACATGGTAGTTCAATCAAAAAAGGAGTATGAAGTTAATTGAATTTGTGAGACTTACTTGCTGTTGCGGGGCGCAAATTCGCCCACAACCAGCGCTTGTAATTGTGCTAATATTGACCTACGTCACACAGAAAATCGAAAACAGCTTACCTTTCGTAGCTGTTTTCGATTGAATCTATTTTGTTTTTTATGGGTTGCTGCTATTCTTTGTTTTGTGAACGGATGGTTTTTGAGATCTGGTGGAAAAATGGAAGAAGCACAATATTTCAAATGAATAAATCTAATATTTTCATGCACCTGTGAACATTATGGACTGGTGTAGTGTATAAATGAATAAACCCCTTCGGCATTGTTTATCGCTTTTAACAACCGGATGCGAGCAAAAATAACGTAAGTGAGCGTTTTAATAAAAAAAATCCGGAAAAAAAGAGACAGGAAATTGTCATGAAACACAAGCATCATTGGTTCGATGCAAGGTCGTCCTAGCCCGTTTGTATACAATTTAAAGATAAACATAAACTATAAATAACAACACCCAAACCCTCGCAGTCCGATGAAGTAAACCCATTCCATATTGTGTACTAATAATAACTTCAACAACAACGGCAAATATATTAAATAGCTTGAACGGTTAAATCACATTTGGTTTTGTTGGAGGTAGGCGTGTGAAAATTACAAATCCAAATATAAAATAACTAATCCAATTCGACTGCATTAAAGGAATTCTTTTTGGACAAAAGAATTGCGACATATAGAGGAAAATTATTTTTTTTCGTCGAAATATTTTTGCAATTCATCGAAACGGCCGTCCCTTGCGCATTGTAGATAAGGCGACAAATAATTTCCGATCGATTCTACAAACTTCCATTTTTCAACAAATTCACGTACAAAAGCACGATTCGATGCCTTTTCTTATACACGTACTAAATACAACATTCAAGTAATCGTAAGCTCTGCAAACATTCGAACCGATGCATCAAAAGCGGTTTGGATGATGTGGGTGTGTAATTTGCTCTTATTACAGCACATTACTCAGAAGAATCACCCGAAGCATGCTTCCTACAAAATTACAAATTACTCGGTTACCTTTTTAGATTTACTCTTACAGGATGTAAAAACACTGCGTAAATTGATAAAGCTTGTGTCGCATTTAAGAAAATAACTCAAAGCTGATTGCAAAAGTTACCGCCAACATTTATCAATATGGAAGTCAACAATTAAAAAGCTCGACTCTGTTGTTTGTGTTTTTGGTATATTTTTAGAGACAATTTTCTACATATATATTATTCGGAAATTGAATCGAGATCCAAATACCGCCAATGGTATGTGAATCATTTTGTCAAAGAACAAAGACTGCGATGTGATGCGGTTTTTAATATGGCTTCCGCAGCTATTGTTTGAAAATTCGAAACACGATGGCATTTCTCGTTTTTGTATCCGTATTTCGGAGACACAGTGTCGACACAACAGAATTTTCCTTGGCATTTCACAATATTTCTCTATAACTATATTTTCTATACATACGTCAATATATGTATAGACAAAAAGATGTATACAGTAGAAATCGATTGTTTCATTATCAATTGTTATATGAAAACTGTGTTAAAATAAATGGAATTGACAACGGCCAATTATTATTTAAGTCAAGCGAAAAGTTTTTTGACGCCATTCGGACTGTTTTCGGGTATTGTTGTGTAAAACACAGTGATATATGGTTATTTTCTGATTCAATGCACTTTTGGTTAGTTTTAAAATGACTTTGAATAGTTCAATATGCTGAAAATTTACCATTTCATTGACTTTGGAAGCTGCTAATCGCAACTGTGAGCTCACTTTCTTTCATAAGATACTAAAAAATCAAACAGAAGAATTGAGCTCAAAAGCATTTCAACTTCAGGGCATGTTCACTGATTCTTTTGAGAAAACTATGAGAAAATGTTTATAATTCAAAGTTCCGAGCTGAAACTATATAAGACTAGAAAAAATGTAATGACTTCTCCCGCTGCATTTTTCTCATTTTGAAAGCGAAATAAAATGTTGAATGAAGCCATAAAATTAACGTTAATCGCTTCTTAAACTATTTGGCGTGTTTTTAGCCACGTGAAGCAATTTTTAGTGGGGCAAACTTTTGGATTGGCTGTGAACTGCGGCACAGATCGCATGGTTATACACCATCGCAATCGCTATAATCAATGGAATACACACGACGTGATATTCTTTTGTTCGCCCTTAAATCGTACGCCATTGGTGTATTGAGCAACGATTCGACAAATTCTTATCAAAAACGGTAAGACGTTACAAGTAAGTGGTTGTGCCGTTGGCCAAATAAAATCGATACCACACGAACAACTGTTCGCGTTTTTCGTACGTTGTCGTTCGTTGGGTGAATACACTACCTCGTCTTGTGTGCTTGACTCCAAAATCCAATTGAACGAATGTGCATTAAAAAAAAAGGACGACGAACGGAAAAAGCGAATGTGTGGCATGGAATGTGTTTTTCGAATGTGTAAATTGACGAAACACTATGTGTGTGCTACATTCAAATAAAATGCGATAACACAAAATGGAATGAGAAAGAGAATGGAAAAAATACGCTTAGAAAAAAACGTGTATCATTTGTATGTCACGATGGATAATCATGCTAGCAAAATGATGAATGAAAAAAAAAAAGATTGCGATTCTTGACAATGAATGCAAACTCATGCTCACTTGCGTTTTGAATCGCCTCAACAAAGAAACGAAAATATGCTCGCAATTTTCAAACATGACGAAGTTTATCATATTATATGCAAATTGTTGCATTTACGGTTTTAGTAAGGGTGTCGGGATTCTAATTAACTATGGCTTACGAAACATTTTATAAAATCAGTGAGTATACGGGACCCAGATTTACATTAATAATTTATAAATTTCAATTTGCAGTTGAGTTAATGACATTGATTGCGAATTATTAACCGTTATTAATAGGTATGCATATCAACCGACATTTATTTACTGAGAATTTTCCACAAAAGTTACTCTGGACACAAGATTTAATTGCTAAAACTGAACGTAAGAGTGGAAATGATATTTGGTTGGATGCATACATATGTTGTGGGTTTCTCTTTTTTCAATTTTCATGAAATTCCATTGTTCATAGCCACTAATTTGTGTGTCAATCAATATGAAGTACCGATTTCGGAGCAGGATTGCGGTTTTTACGTAACGCTATGTTTGGGTAGCATTGTATGTATAACACAATATATATATTTGTCCATCGAACTAGAATAATAGCTTGTCGAAAGCCAACGGTTTTTTACGACATGAGTGCAATTTATTACGGAGTAAATTGAACATTTTTATTACAATCGAATCAATTTTTTTTCGCGATGGGCGAGAGTAGATAGAGAAGGTGTTGAATTTCAATAAAGTGTCGTGTATGGATTTTGATATGAAGAGTTAGTGAGTGTTCATAAAATTTGCTCATTTTTACAAGCACCCTTGTTTCATTACGACGAAAGAATGCTATTGATTGATAAGTGTTTATTGGAAATTCTATACCCAAATAAATTCTATAGAAGTGAAATGCAGAAAAATGGTACTTTCTCCAGACAAAACAATTCTCAGAAAACAAACTACCAAAAGATATCTACTTTCTGCGAAAGAGAGAGGGAGAGAATTAAGATCAAAAATAACAAACATTGATATGACAAAATCCGTGAATCGTTCGGATCATTTAGGAGTTGTAATTTGTGCGTGACGCAAAGGTGCTATTTTTTTGTTACTTGAAAACATGAAACACAACACAATTGTTGGTTACACACTTTTTATGCTTGAAGAGAGCTTCTCTCTCGCTCTCTTTCTATCATTCATTTTCTGAATCATTTATTTTAACACCAAATCCCAACTGAGAAGAAACTTACTTTTTTTATCGTATCACAAAATCCGTCCGACTTCACGAAGCAACAATATACCAATTAGAATAAATTCTAATTTTTAAGCTTATCCGTTTAAAAGAACCAATAAGCTTGACTCTGAAATATTAATTACAAATGACAGTTTCGACGAGAGAAAAAACACACACACCAAATTATTGACAAAATTCGTTGATGACAGCTATAGAAAATTGGTACTGGTGCAAACTATAAACGAAAACTTTTCTTTTCTATTCACACGGAATGGGAGAATCTACTTTGTGGATTTGAACTGGGAAAAAGCACTATTGATTCCTCTCTGGCAAAAGTCGATTTTTCAACAGAAATGATGATGGCACAACAGAATTTACACAAAACACACGCAGCACAAACAGAATCAATGTTCGAACTGAAGAATTGCACACTCAAATTGTCGTACAAGTGAAAAAAAACTTTCGATACACATAACTTTTTTTTCCCGTTTTTCTGGCGCATGGCATTTTCATGCCGTTTATTGATCCACCGCGTTGGATGGAAAACACTCACAACATCAGCAGTACTATTATGGAAAATGTTACTCGCTATGAATGTAAATGATTCAATGCGCGCAACGCACGGTTCATTCATGAAATGAACATGCGATTTAGTGCGTTTGACTATTCTATATGGTAAATATGCATTTATTTTGATTTTAATGCGAAAAATTACAATCGGGTCGAATTATTTTAAAGATTTTTTTTCTCTTGAAAATATTGAAATCGTAATTATTTATGATTAAAATGGACCAGAAGCTACAAATGCAGACAGTAATCTAACCAGTAAGTAAGAGTTTCCAAGATGAATAAATAATCAGAGACAAGAACCCTCTTGTGAATTCTCCGTGAGTAAAACAGCACATGAATGACAACAGCGCCATCTGTTGAATGCAAAGGTAATTTCGGTTTCGAAACTGATTTTATCATGAAATTAAGAGAATCTCTTATTTGCTGTAATTTTAACATTCTTCAAAGAATCTAATGATGCAATAAAATGATAATAATAGATAAAATGATACAAAATTATGGAAAGAAAAATATGATGAAGAAATGAAAGAACGAATAAAAATGGAAATTACACAAACGAGATAAAACTGAATGTATCCATATATATTGTTCAGTGAATTGAGAACTAGTTGCACGTTTTAAAATGTATTTTTGATTGCATCACGTTTATTGCTTTGGTGAAAATAAAGAAAATGATAAAAATTTCAATTATCAAATGGATGGATGAGCTTGAACGTTTGGAGTAATAAAAATGTCTCAATGCAAGTGTAAAGTGCTAGTGTAAGTTCTTGTTTAATGTGATAAAGTATTATATCAAGCGTACAAAATCCCATCGTAAGCATTCCAGCTTGATAATTCTTGTTATTATCGTTTTATAAACGAGATGTGAGAAAAAAAAAATGCTAGAAAATTGCAGAGGAAAATGTCCAAAATGGCCTATTTATTTTGTAATTGAACAAAAACATGTTCATTGAAATTGTTTGTAAAAATCAGCGGTGCAATGGGAAATGAGTTCTTGTTTTGGATTTAGTTCATGTGGCCGTTGCACTGAAATTGTAGCACATTAGAATGTGTAACACGATCAGATGCATAAATTAAGGTCTAATCATTTGTGTGATGGTAACACACAAACGTGCACCATCTACGCAATATTATCCATGCTCAAAAAGAACAAAGCGCATGGCAGTGCATTTTATGCCGTTTAGAATATCGGCAACGCTGATGCTGGTTCAATGAATGCACGATAATATAGCCTTCAACCGAATAAATATATACAAAGTCGGACACAGCGGCAATTAAGCGTTTAAAAATGCGATGAACAAAAAAAACTGCATAGTAACCCCACCACATGATAACACACACTATTCGATATCATTGTTGCTGCATTAATGCTGTCGGAACAATAAAAAGAAATCAAAAAATTGTCGGTTAAATGGCATACTGCATATCACTTTACATTCGAATTGCAAAAATTCTTTAGTAAGAGCCCATTTGGCTTGGGATGATGTATCGTTTGAAAAACGTGCGACAACTAATGGAACAATTTGATGAGTTAGTGGCAAAACCACTTTAGGCTATAAAATTTGTCAAATGACACGAATTTTTGCAAAATCTATTCATTTTCTACTTCTATGTATGGAGATTCAAAGTTCGAAGTGAATTGCACAATTCAATGACGCATCACGAAGAGAGAGAGAGAGAGAGAGAGAGAGAGAGAGAGAGAGAGAGAGAGAGAGAAGAAGAAAACAAAGTTTGTTCTTACACGCACTGAGAGTAGAATATTTGTACGCGAAAACGTCGTTCGATGAAACACATTTCAATGAATAACAGACATTTTGGACACGGTTGTTAATATACAAAATTTACACTGCGACACAGATCTGTTCTGTTTTATTCAATTTAATGCGCTATAATCTATGGTGCGTTTCATGCGCAAATACAAAAGCGACGAAATATCCAGAATAGAGTCGTCATAGAATGTTTGTGTATGTGTGTATATAAAATATAATTTTCAGCGAGAGGCTGTTACGCTATTGCTGCATGCTTATAGACACTGAACTCATTGCAAACAACAACCTGAAGCATTGCGATACGGTTTGGCGCTCAACAGCACTTCCATTTTCAGTTTTATTTTTCTCTTCTGTTTACCTGTCGGCGGATTTCTCAACATTGATCGCAAACGCGCACGCTTTACCCAACACCAACACCATAACATTCTGCATGCGCAACACAACAAGAACCAGAATCTAATAGCATGTTTTGTGTTTGCATTGAGTTGGTTTTTTTTACCTGTCTGCTATATGCTTGTACGTAATGTGTGTTTGTGTGATGTTTACGCTGTTTAGCGTTTGTGATCAGCGAGAGATCGTTTCGCATGCGGGTACGGTATATACTTGAATCGTCTGTATGTCCGTAACTTCCAGTCAGTCATTATTTTCGATTCAACGTGATATGTAACAATTTCAACGCTTGTGCATTCGCGCAGCAAAAAACCATTGTTTTTATTACATTTAATACAAATAAACGAAAATAAATACAGCAAACTCGCATTTCGAGATTCAATCGAATTTACTCAATTTTTGTTCGCTTCATCTGTAAAGTAAGTGCAGTTTTTTTAACAGTGGAAATTATTTATAATAGTAGACGACGTTTATTTGGTAAAATTTGTAAAGTAGTGTGCGAAATTGAGTTTGAGTGTACGTTGAGTGAACCAAAAAGTGAATTATTGAGTTCAAAATATGCATATCAATTACATTACGAACGCGCAATTGTTTCGAGAATTTGTTTACGTCGTTATTGAGTGTCGATTGAAACGATAAAAATCGCACCGCACACAAACTGAAACAAAAAAAAAATATAGCCCGCTCATTCTATACAACAGAATTGTACATATAATTGTTATTTTTTCAGTGTAATGAAAAATTGTTTCTCGCTTGATTTTGACAGATGCGACCACATGACTAAATAGGGAAATACTAGTTTTTAATTGTTTGAAGTTGCGATTGATGTTAAATTATCTGTTCCAACAGACTCTGCTCGAAAAAAAGAACGAAATTTACCTACTTTGTAATGCCTACATTTGCAAAACAAAAAAACAACGATCATAATATATGCATACATGATACCAACACAAAAATGATATCATGATTCATTTAACCAGAATATTGTTGTCGTGCGATTCGACATTGAACGTCCCACAGCGGTTCACATTTCATAGAGATTCGGAAACCCATGTGAATTGTGTAACTTGATTTATATATTACAAAATTGTTTTTTTTTTTTTTTTGTTACAAAGCCGTTTCTCTTTACTTGGTGTATCTTTTGCTTCGTTCTCGAATGATTCGAGCAATAACACCAAAAAAAAACGAAGAAAAAGAAGTGAAGCGGTATGCCAATTAGAGCAGCAGCTCTCACTCTCCGTCGCATATTTTTTCCCGCCTGGTTGTTGCTTTTTTGTTTGAATCATGAAAACGGAATTATCGTCGAAGCCACAAACAAGACCTCAAGACTGCTAAACAACCGACCAATTTTCAACACGTTCACATTCTTTGGTGGCCGCATGGAATAAAATAGAAAGTGTTTTTTGTCGATGTTCATTTTTTTTCTCTTCTCTCGCCTGCAACGATATTTATCGACTCGAAAAATGAGGAAGAAAAACCAATTCCGAATGGGAAGGTAAAATTGAAATCAAATCTCGTTTGGCATTGCAAGATAGATTGCAAACAAAGCAGCAAAGCAGCAACAGCAATAACAACAACGTGCGTTATGATACACCTCTGCGAGACAAAGAAATCGCGAAAAAGGTGTTTAAATGCTCATATTGTGTCTATTCACTGTATGGACTTGCATGCTTTCGGGTCGGGTCCGGTTCGGCTACTCAGCTATTGACATGGCAGTTTGTTATATCATTGTGCTTTGTGAATCGAACCAAATGATGTGTATTTAGTTACTTTACTATATTATTTATTACTTGCAATTTCCATTCGATGGGCCAATTGCCATGAACAGCACAAAAAAGACGATGGTTACGAAATGCCGAATATACACATCAGTGTGGACATCAAATGATCGTGAGCATCATCCAATTGTTGAAATCGTGCTTTGAAATATGTTTAGAAAAGCGCATCAAATTTTCCAAGGCAATCTATCGGGCCAATGAGTGGCGACCAATCCGATGATTGAGTGAAGAAGAAAAAACGACCAAATTAACTTCGCCCGAATTAAATCACATCGCATTTTTTATTCCCTGCGATTATCGAAGGAGAAGCGAATACAAAATCGCTTCCTTTTTTTTCGCTTTTTAACCTCTCTTGAAATCAAATGAATAAAATCTAGGTCGAAGCATTGATTTAAATTGAACTAACGATGCTATTTTTTTGTAAATCAAAATAAATAAAAACAAAGAAGTCATTCTTTATACACAAGATGAATTGAACGAAGCAATAGATAACAGCAAAGCTGAAGCTCATTAGTTATATTCAATGGAAGTTATCGGCGCACGTTATCAATGGCAAAACAAAAACGAAAAATTGAACGAATGAACCTGTGGCGCGCGGAGAGCATAAAATCAGGTTTCCCATTAAAATAGGATCGGATTTCAATAGAAATTTAATTAACTACAGCTCATTTTGTCGGTTTTTTTTTGTAAAATATGCTCCGATCGAAACGTCTTTTTCGTGCGACGAGGATTTTAAGATCAAATGCCCCTCATTACGGTAAAATCAGATCGCTATTTGCTGCGAGAACGACTACGTTTGATTTTTTCTAATTATGGCGCCAAATGCACCACAAACATTTATTCAATCATCGTTTTACTTCTGTATCATTAGATTCTGGTTTTTTTTCTCATCTCGATCTTTCAGCAAAGCCGGAATTTGCAAAGACCGTTGCCTCTGATCAAATACCGAACAAGACCATTTTTAAATGTTCCGTTGCTCATTGCGAAAACCGTTCGAGAAACGCTGAAAACTTGTCATGACAAAACGCTACTTTGAAACGAACACGAAAAAAATATGTACACATGTTTAAATCGATTGAAATTCCTTAGATTTGTTGTACTTTTGGTTTCTGTCTCATACTCGTACACTAATCCAATTTGAAAGAAATGGCTCTGCTTCTTGTGCAGTCAGAATGTTGAGAGATTGCGCGCTCGCGCACGAGCTCACACACGCTATAATTAAAATATTGAATGATATCACCGGCGATGAGAAACAACCGTTTTTGTTTCACAAACAGCCAATACCTGTTCGTTTTTTTTTCTCATTCGATCAATTCATTCTTTGCACAACTGATTCTCGGCTGAAAAGAACGTAAACGGTTTTCGTGTTTTGACGTAGTTTTCGATGCAATCAATACCTCGTTTGAAAATTGCTTGTCTTGTTTTGGTTTGTTTGTTTCGTCTGTTTAGTTTTTTTGTGCCACTCCACCTGCCTATATACTTATATTGGGCGCTTCTTCGCTATTTTACTTCATGATGCACAACATCACTTTGGTCGAGATCAAATTTTTGATCTGCTTTGTTTCACGCTTTTGAATTTACCTTTTGACCGTTGCCAGAAACAGATAGAAAAAAATTAAATGGAAACGATTTTTTATACCAAGAAAATGTTACAATCTATATATACAAAGGTTTTATTTATTTCTACTTCCCGAAAATAAACGCAAACAGTAGACAAATGGGAAGAAAATAAAAGCAGAAAAAATCATAAAGAAACAATGAAAAGTAGTATCTTTTCGATAACGGTCATGTGAAATAGTTTTATTGATCGATTGCCAAATCCAAAAAACACAATTCGTCAATAAAAGTTTCGATTGATTGACGGGTTCTGTTAATTTTTTTTTCTTTTTTTCTGTTGTTGTCATCGTCGTCAAATTTTCAACATTACACAACAATCATATATATGAATACGTCTGTGAGGTATACATAACTCAAAATTATTTATTATTGTTGTTGATGTTATTATTCGTTTCGCCGGTTGAAGCGAATTCCATGTTATGTATAAATAGATGCTTCAAATACGCAATCGGATTGTCGAAAAACCGACAAAACCAAATCTCTTTTAAAGCAATAAATAAAATCTTGTTCAGTACGGCTGCTGTAATTTGTCACGCTTTGGATTTAAAGTTTTACATTCCAGACAAAAGTTGATTTTTTTCATTTCAACAAATAATATAATCGAATTTGTAATGCCCGCTTTATCTCGATGCATTTGTCTTTTTATTTACGAAAAATGTTATAAATGAAATGGAATGCTGTCGGTGGCGAAATGAATCTTTTATTTTATTTCGCTTTAGTAACTAAAGAAAACTGAATTGTTCTGGTTTTAGGTGTGTCTGTTCTGTATGCTTTTTTTTGTGTGTATGTCTCATTCGTATGCAGCTGACAAATCCCACGTAAAGCAATTCGTAATGCCGATATAGCAGAGAGAGAGAGAGAGATGAAAAAAATTGTTTTTCAATTTAATCGTAAGGTCCCATTGAATTTGTATGTTCGTTCATATTTCTCTCGCTCACATATTTCGCAACCTGTTTGCGGCTTATATTCTCTTGGTGTTTTTTATTGAAAATCAACTGGAGGTATAATTTATTAAAAAAAAAAAAAAAACTACGAATAAAAGTCGCTCGGTTGGAATGACGACGATCAAATGATTGTCTGCTTTTCGGATTATGAGCTTATCATATTTGCCTGAAACATTCAATCTAAATTCGGTCTAAAATATCCCTTCGTGCATCAAAACGCATTGTGTGGCACTGAAATAAGCATTATTTGCTGCCCTCTGCTCTTCATTTTCCTTTGCAGAATAAAAAGCCGTGCACAATTCATGTCGCAAATCAGCATACAAAAAAATGCCCGGAAGATTGATCGTCACATGAAGCACACATACCGTCATGTCTTTTGAGAATATTTCACAAGAGATATGAGTGTGCAGGAAAAAAAGAAGAGCCGCACAGACGAATGAGTTATTTTCTACGTAATATTTCATACACGATTTGTGTTTATCGTTTTCGATTAGTCGAAATGTGTACGTCAAAACATTCATATTTGCTTGGTCCATTGGCAATAGCATATGTGAAGACACACTCAAAAAAATAATAACGAATTCATAGTTTCACATGTCCGCATGTTGCAATGGAATCGGCAGGGCTCTATCTCGATTTGTGAAAAACGTGAAGATGAAAAATTGAAATGGCCAAAATGAAGCGATCGTTTCATGTGCGGTTTTTTTGCGCTTGTCTTTTCATTATTTTAATATGCGCACATATTGCATATTGCCGTCTTGACCGGAATGAGTACACACGCGTTCGACCACATAATCCATACCTTTCATTTCGGTCACTGTTGTAGCGCTATGCTTTGCCATCATACATTTAATTTAGCCACAATGTAATATAAACAAATATTGCGCGAACCATCGACTCTACACATGTGTAGCAAATGGTTAAAGAACAGGCGAGCTTGCGAACGAACGAAAGATACTTGACAAAGTGTTATGATGTCATCGTTTCATTCGTTCACGTCCATCATCTCTCTCTCTCTCTGCACACTATCACACATATATGTTGTATTGTGAGATCGCGAACATAGAGAGCGCATATGAAGCGATAAGCAGTGGCTTTGTCGCATTATTGATCACGAAATGCTTAATACCACTTTAGCGATTTATTCTATTGTTTTTCGTCTTCGCTGTTGTGCCCGCAGCATATTCTACCAAACCATGACCAATGCCAGAGTGAAAGAGAGAGAGAGAGAGAGAGAGAGAGAGAGAGAGAAATAAAGAATTTTTCATTTTGCTTCGTTTATGTTTTCGTCTCTTCAGTTAATGGCTTGTTCTTGTTTATTTTTTTCTTCTGCTGTCTTTGGTAATTGTGTGAACGCGACGTATGTTGGTGGTGTGGTTGAGCGTGTGAGTGTGTGTTGATGATGAAGTAACCCACGTCACATTCGCTTCATGTGAAATAATAATAGCTAATGTGTATTTTGTTTTAGATATTCTAAGGTCATAAATGATGTAAGCTGAACGTTTGACGAATATAAAATGACACTAAAATGTGCCTCCATTATTTTTTTCATTCAAATTTTTTTCTACTGACAAACATTTTACACCATTTAATGAGGTTCGCTGCTCTGCAACAGGTCTTTCAAAGTACATTGTGACATTAAATGTTTCCATAAAGTGCTCATTTAAATGCATTTTAGAATAAACGCTGACGTTTTCATGTTTTTTTTTCTTCAAATTCCGAACATTGCATTTTCAATTATGCACAAAATAAAAAATAAATTATTCGAATTAATTATAAAAATACTAGGCAATTTTGTTACTTTATCGCTCATTTCATTTTAAGCACGCAACGCCTTACAGCGTGCCATTTCAAAATAGAATTCAATGGAAAGAGAGAAAAATAGAAAAAAAATATGTTCAATATTTATTCGCTACCGTCCAAGCTACAGCTTATTTTCATATATAATCACATGGCAGACCGGGTTGCTGCTAATCAAATGAAAATTCAATGTATTTTCGATATTAAATGTTCGTGGCATGGATTTAATTTTTTTCAAATACTTAAATGAAATTGCGCAGATTCTCTCTTTCTCTATCTTTTGAGTGGACGATGGAAGATTGCTTCCGCTCCAGTTGTCACTAATTTGACATTTAATTCGAAAATTAAATCCGCATCAGTTTTGCACGAACAGTGGTCGATGCAATGGTGCATTGTGAAAGAAAGATGGATGAAAAAATGGTGCACAGAATTAACAATACCTTTCACTAACTCATGTGAATTATGGAGGCAGTTTTAGAGCATTTGTTGTCGACCGAAACGGAAATTTTCAGATTCACTTTTTTTTGAAACATTCATAATCGGCCAACAATGTAAACGTAAATTGAATAATTTTTAATTGTATTTGGTATCGCGAGAACTCCATTTTCTACTCTATTGAAATCAAGTGAAATCGTGAACGAAGATGCGTGGAGTAAAATAAAAACAAACATAAGATCGTAAGATGACAGATATTTCCCATTGGTATCATGAAACAATGGCAGAGTCGCTGACTACATGGGAAAATATGCATATTTTGTTTGCTTTCGTTTTCCTACAAATGACACATCAAGACTCATTTTATTTCTGGTATTAATCGTTAGGATCCGTACACTCGATGAACCTAATTAACACGATTTCGTTCGTTGAAGCAGAAACTCACGTAAACTCGAAATGCCATTAAAATGCGCATTTTTCTTCTAAAATATGTGCATTTAAAATGAAAAAATAATACATGATGCTTAGAATTAACCCCATAATTTGATTTGTTTATCTTATTTTTCTTTTCTCTCATTAGGCATTGCATTGAAATATATAGTGCAAAAAAAACTTGGTGAAAGAAGTGAAAACAGAACAAAAGAGAGAATTACGAAAAAAAATTGTCTGGAATCGTGTGCTGCAAAAGTTCACTGCCTTCCAACGAAAAAAATCTCTCATCACACATAGATCGATTGCAATGGCAACGAATCGATGGCCCAACGGTAGATCCACAAACACATATCACAACTTCATCATGCGGTTATACGTATTACTAATTTGTCGGCTTTCGTTTGATGTAAGTATCTATTTTTAGTGATTCAATGAAGAAAACATTATGGAATTAATTGAGACATTTAACTGAAAAAATTAGAAAAATCTTTTAAAATTGAATTTCAAATCACATTAAATGAAATAATTTTAAAGCAATTTTTATTGTAATTTTCGCTCCGATCCACTTTCATTCGGCACGATTCAACCACTGTATTTCCACCTTATTGTTTACCCATGGCTTTTTTTGTTGTTGTTTTGTTGCTTCCGTATTCGCTATTTTTTTCGTGTAAAAATTTAATTAAGACGCTGGTACAAGTACTTGACTCGTACAAGAAAGCAAAAAAAAATTGGTTCAATAAATGCTTTGTTTACTGGTATGGACGTGTATCTTTTTCGGTGTGGGAAGTGAACTCGGCATGCCAAAGTCATGGAATGCACACAAAATAGGAACAGCTGACATTGAATTTGGCAATATCGACGGCATATAAATTTGGTATTGACTTGTCACGTTTCTTTTTTTAAATAACACCTACTGACAGCCACGGCTATGAGGCTATATGTTGACATTACAACCATCGTTGATTGTAAATCTTTTAACGGCATCGAAGATCACACCGTATTATTTGGTCATATGCCATTCAAATCGACTAACGCTTTTTTCATTTTCAGCAGACGTCGTATGCATATACAATGGCGAATCAAACGGACAATTCTTTAGATTAAATGTTCGATTCTTTTATTCAAAGAATCGACACCGACAATGACAATACCATTGATCTTTGGTGGTCACGACACTTTTCTCGAAATGAAATTGCCAAAATAGCGGCCGTTTTCATAGAAACAATTCGAAATGTAACGGAAAGTGGATTGGATTCAAACACTTCAGGACAGTGACAGTGCCAGTTCAAAAGTCATTGAATCGCAACTCTTCCCGCTGTTTGTCGAAAACGTTTTTTTTCCTTTTGAAATATTCAATCGAAGAAACTTTCAGTCAATTGAATTCTTCATTCAAATCTTTTGAAACAAACAAAAAAACCGATTTCATTCTAAAACAATTTTTGAATACAAAAAAAAAGGTTCTGCATCATTTAAAATTCTCATGTAAAATTCCATGTACATAATCTCACACGTTTCGTTTGAGTAATTTTAAACGAGAATGTTGTACAGAAATTCAGTAATTAGAATCATAACCATAACGTTCGCATGCAGTAATGAACGGGCCGGCGCGCGCGTTTTCTTGTATTTTCCAAGAACTCTAATTTCTTATGCATGAAAACGAAATGAGGAAAAGCAAACAAATGAATTCACACACATTCGAAAAAAATCACATATCTAAAAAAACATGCATGATTTTGTGAAACAAAAAAACCACTGATTCAAGTTTACCACTTTATTGTTGTGTTGAATGCATAAACCAGTGCATAAAATCATAAAAAAAAAAAACAAATTCTTGCACATATGCACTGGAGACACGCATCGGCACTTTCAATTAGTCATTGAGTTGGCCGAAAGAATTATACCATACAAATTGCAATGGCATTTCAGCGCGCTGGCCAAAAAAGGTTGGTGTTTTTTTATTGTTGTTGTCGTTGTTGTTCGTTTTTCTTCGTCAAGGGCCTCGAAGAGTTTACTGAATTTAGCCAAGCAATTATCTTACAATCATCGCGCGTTTCAGCACACTGCAATCGTATGAGTACAATTGCAATGAAATCGGTGTGATCAGTTTGCGCGAGTCACATCGCACATTCCGTATGTAAAGTGTAGTCAACGATGAATCTGCACACAATAAACCATACATTTTTGTTTCTATTTGGATTTAAAAAATAAAATGAAATAATAAAACAACAAGCAACAGAGCAGTAGCAGTGAACATTTGTACAAACATACACGTATATTTCGTGGCAAACAAAGAGTCACTTTAAATACGCCTGTAATACATTACGTGCCTCAATTGAAACTCCATTATTTATGGTGACACAACATATATATAGTGAATTGGCGCAGGAACTACGCGCTCAAAATGAAATAAAAATAGAAAACGAATCTGTTCGTGTTGAGTTCATTGTTCTCGTGGCTAAAGTGTGCGCGCCCGCGAAGCATTTGCTTGCATTTCGTTTTTTTTTTGTGATACGAACAATTCAAAATTGTACAAACAATTTTATTTCAATTCATTTGTGCATATATTGTCATTTGAAATGCACTATTCGCCTGACAACCACCGCGCCGGGGCTATTGCGATATACTAAAAGATGCTGCTCCGAATGAGTGTGTGATTCTTATTTTGCAATGGAAATTAAGAGTCGGTTTTGGATTTATGAATAGAAATTGCGGTGTGACCCTTTGCATCGTTGTCACCTGATAATCAGCCATCTTTTTAGCCAATAACCACTACTATTTATCGCTCCATCTCTCTCTCGCTGTACATGTCTCGCAATACAACACATTTAGTTGGATAATCGGTGTCGGTTTCGCTTCAATGATGTATATTCCGTGTGAATCAATGATTTTCCAGTCGCACTTTTTTGCTCATCGGCTTTAATTATCGAGCGGTTGGATTCTTTTTTTTTCTCATCAATGTTTGCGCGTTCTTTAAAAAAAATCAACACATACGTGAGTTTTTTTTGATTTATTCATGTTTTTAGCGAAGCGTGCAGTAAAAAAAATGATTTTATCGCATCGCAAATTCAAATGTGCAAGACACTTTGCAAACGTCAATATGTTCTAATCTAACAATTGAGTGTCGAGCCACGGCATTTTTGTGCTCTCTGGTTTGCTTGTGCACCGCGAACATTATGCGCATAATTGCAATCTTATGGATGCGTAAATAATTTTATTACATCGACTTATTAGACGAATTCAAGTAATATCCACATTTTTTTCGTTTGCATACGAAAATGTAAACGCATGGTTTTGGATCGGGAGTTTTTTTCTAAGTGGACATTCGATTGTGTGGAAGAATGGTCTCATTTGATTTTCAAATTTGAAAAATTAGAATTTAAAATGTAAGTCTGTAGTGGCTGTAAGGTTCATTGTTCCGAAGTAGTTCACGTGATTGAACGATTCCTAGAAAGTCGATTGATTGATCGTACATATTTCACTGCTGTTGCTGTTTTTGTGGCCGCCGCACGGCTGTTGCTTCCTCACCATAATTTCCGCCTTTGGCACACGAAACATTACTCTTTTTTTTCATACTCGACACAACAGCACTCGTCCATTATGTTCACGGATGTATGGCAGCCAAGTCAAGCACTCTGTTCTTGGCAATCACTTGAGCTTCGTTTTAGTTTTTTTCTTCTCGTTTCGTCATTACATGATGATCGTTAAGGTATTATGATCACATTGCAATTCCGTATGATCGAACGCGAACCGATGTTGCCACTGCATCGCATATTTTAACCTGATGTTAATCTCCGATATTCTAACTAGTCTTCCGTTTTAATAAGTAACGCTGAGCTGTTCGTCAATTGATGAATCGCAGTGCAATGGAATGCTAAGTAGTGTGCAACAAATTTACAATATGATTGCATGTAAACCAACTTATAAATATTATTACACCAACAAATACAATATCAATTACTACATATTTATACTAGGAAATGTGAAAAATTTCTATAAAACTTTGAGGCACGACATTTTGTCTATCGAGAATTTTCGATATTTTCGGAAACTTTGCGCTGAGAAAGAAGTTCTGAAATTTTGCGCTAAAATTCATTTGGCTGAAAAGAATTTTGTGGATTTTTGCAATTATTTTTATGTCCACATATTCTGCTGTGATTTTTATATTCGATGTCGTGTGCTCTTCAAAAGTATATCAAATGCACATTTCCGTCATACTTACCAGAAAGACACATGTAAAATGGTTGAAAGCAACTTTTCATTTATTTCTATTATAGCACATGTTCTATTGATTTATTATCATTCATCCAATCAGCTTTGACCGCAAAACGAAAAACGATATGTAAAAATGCATAAAATCCGTTTTCGAGCCTAAAGATACGGAGCAACCGCTAATCGAACCTGTAGCGCATCTGCAACTGTATGTGAAAAAAAGTGTGATTTGCTGAGTGAGAGGAGCAAAAAAAAATCAACGGTGCAACATTTCATGCAATGACAGCTGTTCATGTGAAGTGATGCGATTCATTTCAAGTGTCCATTTGTATTACGTGTTATAATAAATTAAATGCGCCAATCTCTGGCCTATGCGCCACAGCGCAGCCACTCGATTTACGCTTGATCTGTTACTTCGATCAAAGCATTGATATTTATTTGCTTCGCTTGGCCTTTTGTGTGTTTTAATGTTTTATCTCGTGTTTGCTTTTTTTTATTTCATTAGGCACATTTAGCTGTGGCTTTCTTCATGACCCGTTTTGCCATTTTTTTCTCTTTCTCTTTGCCATTTCATAATAATAATCATTTTAAGTGTTTGTTCGAATGATGAATAATCATTTCAAACGTCTAATCGTGCCTTTGCTGAAGGGGAAATGCAATCAACAAATACAACAAAATGAAAATATATTACAAATGTTGAACAAGTGGAACGAAAAAAAAACGGTTCTGTTTTGTGCTTCATTTCACATGGCAACTTGTTTGACTGACAATTAAAACCATTATTTCCACTGTGTTTGACAATGTTTCGAAATTTCTAAGTTAAACAATATGTTATAAAGGTTTCATTTTGAGAAATGACAAAAAATTATCGTTCGTTCTTTTTCCATACATCGGCTTGTTCATATGTGGTTATCAGTTGATATTATCTAACAAACATTTTGAAGTGTCTCAAACAAACGAATGAAGACATTTAGAAGAAAAATGGAATTCATTTTAAATTGTATGTTTTTTTCTCTCAATAGATATGTTATTGGCATGCGGTTGAAAAATTCGCCACCTGCAAAACCAGCAGCTGAAAAAATCAAAAAAAATCACATATACATTTTTCAAACGACAGAAAACCAATCTCAGAAATGCCGATACAGTTTTGTGTAGGGAACGGGAATGTATTAGATTGAACAAGCGCTGTTAAAATTA